GTTAATCCATCTTTACCTAAGTTTCTTGAGCATCCTTATAACCATTGTTTTGAACTCTGTATCTGGTGGATTGCTTGGCTCTATTTTTTTTTTTTTTAGTTCTTTTTCTGAGGCTTTCTCCTGTTCTTTTACTTGAGTAATGTTTCTTTATCTCCTTATTTTGGCTGCCTCTCTGTATTTGTTTCTGTGTATTAGATAAATCTGCTCTGTCTCCATCTTGATAGGGTGTAATAGATGTCCTGTGGGGCTCAGTGGCACAGTCTCCCTGATCACCTGAATTAGGTGATCCAGAAGTGTCCATTGTGTGGGTTATATGAGCCCTCCTGTTGTAGTTGAGTCTTGATTGTTGTTGGCCCATTCATGGTTGGGGTTGACTCTCAGGCTCACTGACTATGAGAATTGACCTTGACCACAGTGTATGAACTGTTCAGGGGCTGACCTCGCAAAGCAGAATTTTCCCCAGCAGGGTCTGGTGCCTGATGAGACCTCTTTTTAAAGTGCTGCTTGTGGAGCTACTCAGGTTGTGCTCTGATGTGGTTTGAAGAGAGCCATTGATTCTGTTGGTTCTGGGGTCTCTTGGAAGGGTCTTTGATGCAGGTCAATGTCAGACACTGCCTGTGACCTGCTCTGGGCTACCTATTAGAAGCTACAATGTAGTCCATGGTTGCTAGCTGCCTCTGCTGGGCCTGGGTGCACATGGCAGAGAAAACCTTATTTTTAAAAATGAGATTTTAAGTAAATAATTTATGTAGTGCATTGTGGTTTTAAAAGCATTTTACATACTTCATGTCTTATCCTCACAACCACCATGTGAGGAAATTCAGTGGACACTGAGCCTTAAAGGGTAATAGACTTATTCAAGGACATGGAACTCTTGGCTTCCAGTTCAGTGGCCTTTTATATTCTTCCCTAACCAAGTTTATCATGAAGAGTTAAAGAGCTATCAAATACTTTAAATATATGTTTCTGAAATTTAGTTATGCTTACTGGGCTTCACTTTGTTGAGTGCCTGCCTGGTTGAGTTGTACACTTTGTTATTTCTTTTACAACTGAATGATGGTGACTATTTCTAGTCCCTTATCCCTAGCCCTTGCTCATCATCCTCTCCTTTGCATCATTGGAACAAGTTCTGGGACTTCCTTAAGTCTAACACTTTAAAAGGACTGTTGTTACATATGTGCTCATAGAATCTTGACACTAAAAAATAATCAACTTACTGTACCTCTTTTTCCACAGGTAGAAAGGGAAACTCACACATTAGATAAATCTTACCCTTATAAGCTTTATATATTTTAGGTAATGAACAAAATTATGGGTATGTATGTATTATTTTTCTTTATGGAATAAAATAATCCTTACTGCCTAGTTAGGTAAATAAAACACATGTATTAAAAATTTTATCTCTTCAGTAGATTTCATATCTTCAATGGAAAGTATTCTCCTCTTCTCTAGTCCTGGATTATATATTTTTAAAATATATAATGTTCAGTGTTAGAGTTGGTAATATAAAATCTTAATTAGAAGTAAAAATTTGTTAATTATCTATACATTTTAGTATTTCTCTGCCTGTTAGCATTTTTAGTATTATAGTGATTATTCATTCCTTCTTTTTTTTATTTAACTTATATAAATTTATTTAACTTATATAAAAATATTTATTTTATAAAATAATAGTTTAAAAATATATACATATAGACATATATTTTTGTGCATCCATCCATCCATCCATCCATCCATAACATTATGCATACTAGAATAGAGGCAGTGTTGCATTAAACAAAGAGCTGACTCCTGATGTCCCAAGGAGAGGAGAGCTGGTGAGCACCTTCCCTCTGCATCTCCAGAGCTGCATTGCAGTCCCTTCTCTCTTGACTCCACATCTCTCCATGCCCTCTTGGGAAGGGGTTAACAGACCAAAGGTGAGCCACGCTGATTGTAGGAGACTGAACAGAGAGCTGAAATCAAAGAAGTTGGGTAGCATCATCTTTACTCAACAGCCTTCCTGGAGCTTAGAGAGTAAGCAAGTCATGTCCGTAGTCATTCCTCAACCAGTGGCAGCGTATTTTGTAAGGAAACTTTAAAGTTGCCTAAATTTCTCAGCTCTTCTTCTGTACCCTCACATAAATGGTAAAAGAACCCAGCAGGAATGTATCTTACATGTTTTGGCTGGTCTACTTTTATTCCTATTTTCTTTGAAAAGTAACCCTCCCATACTTCCATTTATTTAACTGATTAGAAGTCTACTTATTCTTCAATATCTGGCAAAATATGGCCTCCATGCCCTGGCCGGTTTGGCTCAGCAGTTAAAGTGTCGGCCTGCGGTCCAGAGAGACACGGGTTCGGTTCCCGCTAAGGGCATGCACCTCAGTTACAGTTTGTCCCCGGCCCTGGTTGGTCGTGCGGGTGGCAACCACTTGATGTGTCCCTTTCACGTCAATGTTTCTCTCTCTCTCTCTCTCCCTCCCACTCTATCTGAACAAAATATTGAAAAATGTCCTTGGGTGAGGATAAAAAAAAAATATATGGCCTCCATGAAATTTTCTGGGATAACTTTAATTGGATTAAATTTTTCCCTTCCTCTTAACTCTTATTACATTTTGTACTACTTTTGGGGTCCTTATCACAGACCATCTTGTGTTGTAGTTATTTATGTATGTGCCCTTTTCCTTAGTAAGATTTTTAAAAGCTTTGATTGATTTAATTTTTATATAAGTAATTAACAGTCTTCAGAGAAAAATTAGGAAAAAAATAAATAAAAAGAAAAATGACCAATAATCATACTTCCCAGACTCCCCCAAATAAACATTATTGAACATTATTACTAGTCATATTTACATAGCACTTTTTTTTTTTTTTTTTAAATGGAGCACTTCTAAATGCTTTAACATATTAACTTAGTGGTTCTCAAATGTGAGTGTGCACCTGGCTCACCCGAAGGGCTTGTTAAAACACAGATTCTGGCCCTGGCTGGGTAGCTCAGCGGGTTAGAGTGTTGCCCCAGTATACCAAGGTTGTGGGTTCGATCCCCTTTCTGGGCACATACAAAAATCAATCAATGAATGCATAAATAAGTGGAACAAATTGATGTTTCTTTCTCTGTATTTCACTTTCTCTCCCCCCCCCCCCTCAAATCAATAACAACAACAACATCAATACAGATTCTGGGCCCTGTCCTGAGTGTTTCTGATTCAGTAGATCTGGGTTGGGACCTGAGAATTTATATTTCTAACAAGTTCTTAGGCTGCTGGTCCATGGATCTTATCTGAAGAATCACTAAATCAACTCTTACAATCCTCACTTTAACCCTATGATATAAGTACCATTATTATTGGCGTTTACATATGGGGAAACTGAGTCAAAGACCAGTCAAATAAGTTTCCCAGAGGGGCACAGCTAGTAAACGACAGAGCCAGCATTCAACCTGCGACACGCTGGATACTGAGTTCATGCTTATAACCATGACACTGGACATATGAGGTGTTAACAGAGCACAGAGCCACTCTGGAGACCAGAGAGGTTTCACAGCAGAGGTGACTGAGACGCAGGTCTTAAAGGAAGGGTGGGGAGTCCCTGAAGGAAGGCTGTGGTTGGGTCTTCAAGGGTGTGAGGACAGCATATGTAACAGCTTAGAGCAGTGGTTCTTAACCTTTCTAATGCCGAGACCCTTCAATACAGTTCCTCATGATGTATGTGGGCATGTCTGCATGTGGGTGACCCGCCTGGAGACGGATAGAGGAGCGGCGTCTCGGGTTCCTAAGACCAACCGAAATATGTTTTCCGATGGTCTTAGGTGACCCCTGTGAAAGGGTTGTTTGACCCCCAAAGGAGTCATGACCCACAGGTTGAGAACCACTGGCCAAAGGAAAGAAAGAGCATGGCTGTTATTGGAAACTACACAGTTTGGTCTTGCTTGTATAGTTCTCGTTTTCCTGGTTGTCCCTTGAAGGCAAAGGTCATTGCTCTGAAATTCTACACCAAGTATCAGGCCAGAGTTAACATCTGTTAACTTAACTTTCTCCTGATAAGACAAAATGAACATGACTTCATAATGAGGAACTAAAATGTCAACACTCTTCTGGTTAACCATGCAAAAAATAAATTAGGCCATAAACTTTGTGAAAGTTTGGGCTGCTTCGGTTTCCGTATGGGGTGTGACAAGTAAGAAATAAGACTGTATTTTTCTTCTTTGGGAGAGTAAACTATTTAGCTTAATGAATCTCTTTTGTTTGATTTTATTGCTTTTGAAAATTATGCCTATTCACAGGTTCTCAGGTGAAAAGGAAGAAAAGCTGTGGAATGAGAGTGGGAGTCTCCTGTCTCTCACTGGTTCTGATGACTGGCTCATTGACTGTTCATTCTGGGTCTTTTCTCTTCGTTTAATCATGTATCTTGTTTTCAATAATTGACTGCCTAAGGATAATAGAAAAATATGAAAAACATTTCAGATAGAAATAGCTTAGTTTATAGGAAGACAACTCTTTTAAAATTGTGATTGCTGTGGAGAGAAAATATGTGAAAACATTCTTTCTGATTGGTGTTTCTGGCTTCTTAGGATGTATTCCTAGAAGCGGGATCACTGGGTCAAATGGCAGTTCCATTTTTAATTTTTTTGAGGAAACACCATACTGTTTTCCATAGTGGCTGCACCAGTCTGCATTCCCACCAGCAGTGTGCTAGAGTCCCCTTTTCTCCACACCCTCACCAACACGTGTTTGATTATTTGTTGATGGCGGCCATTCTGGCAGGTGTGAGGTGATACCTCATAGTTGTTTAAATTTGCATTTCTCTGAGGATGAGTGACTGAGGACAGAGTTGTTTGACATCTCTGCCTCGTCCATTCAGTTTTACAGATTAGGGTACTGATGCTTTGCAAGCATTCTATCAGTTCCTCCATCTGTATATCCATCCACAATTTCCACAGCACTGTTGCATGTATTATCCATTGATCACACACTTATGTTATTGTCACCTATACTTTTCTTATCTTCTTATATTAACAGGCCAGCTACAAATGCATGCATATTGTGAAAACCCAGATATAGTGTTATGTGGAAATAAGAGTGATCTGGAAGACCAAAGAGTAGTGAAAGAGGAGGAAGCCAGAGCACTTGCAGAGAAATATGGGTGAGTATTTTTGTGGAAAAATCTAGAGAAAACATTTCCAATTTAAACATTAGCACATGAATAGATAACAAAAAAGATACAAGCAAAAAAATAAAAACAAGCCCTGGTTGATTTGGCTCAGTGGTTAGAGTGTTGGACCATGGGCCAAAGGGTCTTAGGTTTGATACCTGTCAAGGGCATGTACCTGGGTTGCAGGTTTGGTCCCGGCCCTGGTTAGGGTCGTGTGGGAGGCAACCAATTGATGTGTTTCTCTCACATTGATGTTTCTCTCTTTCCTTCTCTTCTCCTCCCTCCCTTCCACTCTCTCTAGAAATCAATGGAAAAAATATCCTTGGGTGAGGATTAACAATAACAACAAAATAATAATAATAAAAAATCACTCTGATATAGGCCTTTGGAGGCATCAAATACCACTTTGTATATTAACATATAGTGGGAACCATAGAGAGAGCCCTGGGGAGGCCTTTGTTCAGTTCTTCGGTCCAGGGCCCCTCTGCAAAGGAATTTATACTTTACTTTTTTCCCGCCTCTGCTACAATGAGAACTCACATGTATGTGTATTAATTACCCTTAACATAAGCAGGAGGCAGCAAGTGGGGTTGAGAAGGAAGGAGTGGGCGGGAGAGGAAGACTGCGTGTGTGGAGTGGTATGTAGAGATGGTACCGGGCTCATGGCCTTTGGCTGTTAGGCAGAATCCAAGGAGGCCAGAGGAGGTCCTTTCCCTTCTCGTATGGCTGCTGCTTTGCTCTTCCTTGGGGTGCTGGGGGTTCAGAAAGCACTGAAGTCTAGGCGGCGTGAGTGGGATGAGAGGGGAGGAGGAAAGACTGGAGACAGGGAGGTGGCAGTGATCTGTGAAGTGGGTGGGGGCTGGGTTTGTGGAAAAGGAAAAGGACTAAATTAGAGAAAATCCACTGGGTGGGGAAGAACAGGTTTTTAAATCTTTCTCAAGTCCAACTCTTTGGGAAGGGGGGTGGTTCCCATCAACGAAGCTGGCTTACTCTGGTAGGGTTTGCAGTAAGATGTGGATATTTTCGCTCAAAGGTAGGTGGTGTTGAACCATGTTAGAGGCACCTGGGGAGCTTTTAACAAATACTCATGTTCAGGCCTCACCTCTGACATAATTGCTCTGGGTGGTTTATCAGGCAAGCTTCAGGTGAATAAACATACTGAGGTATAAAGGGATTTGACTTTATGCTCTTGTGGGAGCTGGGTAGGCAGCCTCCGTAAGGTGTTGCTTTGAGTCTGGTGCTAAAGCTGCAAGAGCACAGGATGGGCTCTCAGGAAGGGAAGCTGGATCAGAAGTGGGAGAGAGCAAGAAGCAGCCGGAGCCCATCCTGATGGACCGAACCCTGTGTCAGTCATTGCTGCCTCTGACCTTGGTGGCCTGGCTGTCTTGCAGTAGCCAGGGCCCTTGAGCTAAACATGCACACCTGGCCCAGGAATCGGAAAAGCTGAAAGAGGATCTAGCAGGGATGGGGAACCTTTTATCTGCCAAGGGCCATTTGGATATTTATAACATCATTTATCAACTTAAAAATGAGCCTGCTATATTTGGTCAGACTAATTGATGAGGCTGTGATGTTAGCTGGTATTGATTTTGTGGACCTCATGTGGCCCAAGGGCCGGGCGTTCCCCACCCCTGATTCTGGGGGAAGGCGGAGCAGGTGCAGGTCTGGCTGCTGGCTTATGTCAATGAGATGAGCCCGTGGATGAGTAGCAGCGTCCAGGAGCTACAGAATGGCTTCTGCTTCAGTTCTGTCCCCCAGTTCTCCCCCCATCTCTCTGTGGTCCACTTGGACTGGAAGGGGAGTTCTTGGAAATGTTTAGCCTGGGCAAGTTGACATTTTACAAAGCCACCACGGGTGGGGGCCTGGGCATTGGCATCTTTGCAAAGCCTGCCACATGATTTTCATGCACAGAGCTTGAGAACCACTGCCTGAGGTGACCAAGCCCGGCAGGCAGTTCTGGTACTCTCCCTTCCTCCAGAGAGCACTCCTGTACTGTAGAGGGAGGGGTCAGGCACCGCAGAGAAGACAGGGTGGCAGCTGGGAGCTGTGTTGCAAGGGGGTGAGGAGGAAGCGAGTGATGAAGCAATGGGAACCATGGACCTAGACCACGCTTTTGAGAAGTGTGTTAGTAGAGGCCAAAAGATAAAAAACTAGGGCAGCCAGCAGAGTAGCTAGGACAAACCAGTATGTTCTCAAGGATTGGGGCCGAGTCAGGATTGCCTTTCTCCTCCTCTAGGCTTCGTCAGCCCTTTGCTTGTTTCCTTGGTTCCCGGATTCCATAGCCTGCCTGAGGCTGCAGTTGCCTCTGACTGTATGGGGAACCTGGGGATTCAGGGTTTGTTTTCCATCTGTGCTCAGAGCACAGATGTATTTTAAAGAGAGAGGTTCAATATAAAGTTTTTAGATTGCATTAAAATGAGGAGAAATGGAATTAGCAGATAACGGAAACGATTGGAGAAGAATCTCCTTAAGATTTAGGAAGTAGCCTGGCCGGTGTGGCTCAGTTGGTGGAGCGTCATCCATATAGCAACAGGTGCCGGCTCGATTCCCAGTCAGGGCACATGCCTGGGTTTGGGGCTTGATCCCTAGTAGCGGGTGTGCAGGAGGCAGCTGATAGATATTTCTCTGTCATCGATGTTTCTTTCTCTCCCTCTCCCTTCCTCTCTCTCTAAAATCAATAAAACATTTTAAAAAAGATTTAGAAAGTATGAAGTATAGTTCTTTATAGTTCTTTAGGCTGTTGAGCAGTCTCAGAGCAATTTGGCTCACTACTTACAGCAAATTTGGCATATGAACTTAATGACTATTTTTTTATTCTTAATAATAATACTATTTTTATGGGTTACACATACACTAAAGGGCTATGCTGGTCAGTCGATTTATGTGCTAACAGTCAGAAACAGCTTGGTTTATGGCATATCTTCATATCATTTGTATGTTGTCTGATAAATCTGCATTTTTGTTAGTATTGTGCTACCTTCTATCCTCAATTCATAAAAATGGAGCATTGGTTCACAAGTGATTCTCTGAAATATACATACATTCAGAGAATCACACACTGTGTCTCAGAAAAACTTGGCACACCCAATGAAGAACATGTGACAGTAAATGTGGAACATAAATCTGTGTGTGCCGGGACAGGTACATCAGAAATGAGAACTCTGCAGCAGCCCTGGCTGGAAAGGGCGAGCTGGATGCAGGATGATGAATACCTGGAAATTTATTTTTAGTAGACTAAGAATCCATTTACTCCTAATTCACTGCAAAATCCTTTTTTAAAAATTCTATGAGACTTGTTTACATGGTAATATGATGTTCTTGGGTCACTTCCTAACATAACAAAGTAATCTATTGGTAAATCATTCGAGTTTTCTAGAAAAGTGCAAGGCAATGCTTTCCAGTGTGTCATATTGAATAGTATTGTCAGTGACATCAGAGGAGAGAACAAAACAGAGGCTTGTTCAAATTTGCAGTCCTGCCAGTCAAAACTATTACAAACCACACTGTTGCTGAAACACTTTTTTTTTTTTTTTTGTTAATCCTCACCTGAGGATATTTTTTCCATTGATTTTTAGAGAGTGGAAGGGAGAAGGGAGACACACACACACACACACACACACACAGAAACATCGATGTGAGAGAGACACATTGACTGGTTGCCTCTTGCATGGGATTGAACCTGCAACCCAGGTACATGCCCTTGATTAGGAATTGAACCCGTGACCCTTTGGTGTGTGGGCCAACACTCTAACCACTGAGCCACACTGGTCAGGGCCCAAAACACTTTTAAGAATAGTTACAAAGTCAGTGACAAAGATATTAGAAGAGAGCAGTACTGCCAACATTCCTCTCGTAGATGATGCTGTTGGACCTCAAGCTGCAGTGTGTGTGAGAATTACCTGAATGCTGAGGGTTGCAGTCTCTGATTCAGTAGGTCTGGGTGAAGCCCCCCACATTTACATTTCTGATTGATTTCCAGATGCTGCTGCTGCTGGTGGTTGAGGACAGCTCTTTGAGAACCACTGGTGTAGATACCAAGTTACTGTCAGGTGTGTGTACTGGCAGACATTTTCCTTGACACAATAGCTGGGCAGAATCACTTTTGCACAGAATAGAAAGCAGTCGTCTGCTGGTGTCATGCATGGGTGGGAGTAACATGCGCAATGACCTCTCACTGGACAATCCATGCTAAGAGAAAAAGGATCTTTTTCTCACAAAGTTCTTTGCACCAGCTGTGACATAGACTCGGAAGGGACACTGAGATTGGTGCTGAGGGACTCCAGACATAGCGGGCAGGCAAGGACTTTACTTTGGGAGTAAAAATGGTTGCACCTAAATTTCCTCCCTCACTCTGCTTTACTTACAGAGGAGAGATGGTGGTCATTAGAAGCCTTTGTCCTTGATTCAGAGGACATTGTGAATGCAATGAAAGCAAGATAATTGAATGTACATATTTCATGTGCTGTGCAAAGAAATTGGCAGCAAACTTTAAAAAATTGAGATATATTTGACATATAATATTGCATTAGTTTTAGATGAACGATATAATGATTTGATTTGTGTATATATTACAAAATGATTACCAAAATAAGTTTAGTTAACATCCATCACGACCTAGAGCTACAATTTTCATGTGTGTGTGATGAGAACTTTTAAGGTTCATACTTTGAAAGGCAGCAAATTTAAAACAACTTGTTTTCCCACTGAAGGCTGTTGGCTAGTGATGAGGAAGGTGCTCAAGAGTTTCTGGAATGAAGGATGAGTTTAAAAACATTTATTTACATCATTAATGATATGAGTATAGAACACATCTGGAATTTGAAGTGGCTTAGCTCAGCAGAACGCCCAGTGTCTATGTAGTCTGAATGAGATGAAATGGGGTACGAATAGCTTGATCTCTAGTAGTTTAATGCTTTGCAAATTAGATGACATCCTTCCTTTATTTAAGAAATAAATTAATGATTTATCATTGGGCATGTTTTAAAACCACA